GGGGTGATGCATCTCCTCTGCTTCTGCTGATACACGATGACTTCCTCAGATAGATGTTTTTAGTGACCGATGTTGAAAAGAATAAAAATAGAGCCGGGAAGACAGCGATGGACCGCAGATTGATGATCAGTCAGAGCACCCCAAGGATCCTCAAGGTCATTCCATCTGTTGATAGATCTGGTTTTTTTATGGATCACAGTCATTTTGACACCGTATATGATGTGCTATTTTCTCTTTCTGCCTCACCTGCAGCTTCTGCAGCAGCAAGGTTTTCCTCTATTCCCACTGCACAATATTGACACGAGCAACTCTTTGTCTTCCTTTTATATTTTTCTCCAAGAATTAAACAATCTGTTTAGATTGTTTTAGGTTCCTATCTATTTTAATTCCATCAAAAATAGTGACCCAACCGTCTTTGCATGTATCTGCACACATCTATGTGCTCATTTTAACTCAATAATAACTAATTAAAATGATAAAAAAATAATGATGATAACTCTTTTGAAAGCTGTTAAAAAGTTTCCAGATTTGCAATGCACCCTTGCAGCGCATCCATAGATACTGCAGTAAAAAAAGACGTGTATCATTTCTCCCAAACATCTTTGCAGTGTGTCTGAGGGCTCTGAATAAAATATCAGCTCTCAAAGAAAAGTGTTGTCTATCTGCAGTGTGCATGGGGAGCTGCAGACCCAGTTCCAAATCAAATAGATATTCTTTCATTTTCCCCTGCAGCAGTTTTTTTTTTCTTTTTCCCCCCAGAAACTGATTTGAATATTGCAGATGGAGAGGTCTGTCTCTCCGGAGGGGAATCTGCCGGTGGGAACAAAAAACAGAACTCCGAGGCCTTTCCTAACAAGTCAGGTAATGCAAAACAGCAGCCCGAACCCTGCAAAGCACACGCATGTTCTTTACAAGCAGAGAATCAATCACGTGCCCTCCACCTGATTAAGGAGTGAAGCAGACCATCAACACAACGCTCGGCCTCTCTCAGCCAGGTTCGCAGCCACTTCAATCACCTGGTCTCCGACCAAAGCAAATATGAAAATAAAAGAATACCGTTAAATTAGGATTCGGCCTTTGAACTGAATCGAGCACACTTCCC